AATAGAGGTTTTGGTTTTCTTAAGTAATTAAAGACTTGACCAAAGACAACTCGAAGCACGGTAAACTGTTTTGATAAGACACAATCTTTGTCTCCTAGCTAGAATTCTTAAAAGGCTAAAAAAAACCCCTCACAATTTCATATTAGGGCATTCCAATAATCCAAGATATCCTTGTCATGTTAACATAGGAGACCAAATTCTAGTGTTACATCAGCATACTTTTGATATTAATGATCAATGAAGCACAATTATAAATAATTTCTTTCAAATTTTATCAAACTTTATCACATATGAAATTTCTTTTCCAAGATTTCTTTCCACAAACCTTCTGCAACTTCTTGACTATCAGTTTGGTTTTGTCCTATCTGCTTTCTCTTTTCCATCATGGAAAAACCAACCATTCTACTTTAGGTTAAAAAAAAAATTAGTCTTTCTCTTTAAAGAAAAACACATTGTGTATATCTCATAGCTTCACCTACCAAAAACTTGTCTTACTAGTCCTACATACAAAGTTGTTTCTCTTATTATTTCCATCATTAATTATCACATGTTAGTTATAACTCTTAATTATTGGTAGCTTGAATTTCTAGTGAAAACTACGGGGTAAGCAAGTGTGAATGGCTTGTCACATATGAGCATTCTGTAAATTAATATTACTTGATCATTTCTCACAGCATCTGCTTCCTCATGGTATCATTTTTCAATGTGGCACAGGGCATGTTTACTAAATGACCAAATGTTTTTAAGTTTTTTGTAATAAGAAGCCCAAAGTCAGAAATCTTACGTTTACCAAATATTTAATATTTTATCTTATTTGTAAATGACCTAGATATTCAATTAATATACATTCTTTAAGTTCGCTACCCAAACTCCAAAAAGTACAAAAGAGATTTGAGAAGCTGATTAGATATTTTGTAACACCAAACAAGTCTAGCCATCACCACATTATTTTTCTTTTAGCTGTTTTCAAAGAATGTGCATGTTAGGCAGTCATCATAAAAGCCAGAATTCTAAAAAGTTAAATACATGTTTCTGTTTTCATTTTTTGTATCACTGCTATGCTTGAGATACGTGAAGCAATGGACACTATCTTTCACTTGCACATTTGTTAAGTCAAACTCATACTTTAATAATCTTAAACTTTTGGTAGACATTACATAAACTCCCATGACCAGTAACCTATGAAGAATAAATTGTGTGTTTGCATATTTAATCCAGACTACTCTGAAGAAATGCCTGTTTTAATTCAACCAACCAACATAAACTAGCTTTTTTTAACTGAAAAATTATTCCAGATCACATGAACTGGGAAAGTATTTTATGGTAGTTCCTATCATTCTATGAGTTTAGTAAATGTTTCGTTTATATAAGTGCTTATTTTTCTTTAAGCCAATTAAATAGAGCTCCTTTTTATTTATTATTATTATTATTATTATTTTGAGATGGAGTTTCGCTCTTGTTACCCAGGCTGGAGTGCAATGGCGTGATCTCAGCTCACCGCAACCTCCGCCTCCTGGGTTCAAGCAATCCTCCTGCCTCAGCCTCCGGAGTAGCTGGGATTACAGGCACGCACCACCATGCTCAGCTAATTTTTTGTATTTTTAGTAGAGACGGGGTGTCACCATGTTGACCAAAATGGTCTCGATCTCTTGACCTCGTGATCCACCCGCCTCGGCCTCCCAAAGTGCTGGGATTACAGGCTTGAGCCACTGCGCCCGGCTCCTTTTTATATTATTTTTGATAATACCGTCCAGAGGTAGGAACATAGAACATATGCATATAACATACAGAAATGTACAGACAGAAGCAAATACTATAGCTTTCATTTCAGAACTTTACTTATGTGCCAGGTACAATAATACAAAGCTCACAAGTTTATAAAATAGTATCTTGATTCGAATTGTGCTTGTGACTGATGGAACAAAATTGCCTGCTAAGAAGGCTGAAGTTTTTTACTAATATATATGGAAAAAAACTTTGAAGACTTCTGATTTTCTTTTTTGGGAGGAAACGTTTAGAAAGATAGTTTTTATTCATTTTATTATTTAGGAGCTTCTGCATGCTAATGAAAACTACAACCCATTGTTCCATAGTTTAGTTTTCTTATTTTGTTGTTGGTGATGGTATTGCTTTTAGATGTTTTGGATTCGTTTCTATTGCACCTTGCAAATGAACAATGTTGCCAAGGTTAAAACTTCCCTGTGTGAATGCTGTCATTCTAAATTTTCCTTAGCAAGGTTAACTTGTTTGTTCAAAAATATAAAAGTTCCTGGTCCCTAATTATCAGACATGAAATTAGCCAGTATCCCAGCAAGTGGAGTCACAGGCTCCTTTCTTTGGAGAAATCAACTTTCAGAAAATACCTACCTGAGGGCTCTAAGTGGTCCCAGGGTGGCTATTTATTGGATCCATTCTGATTGTGAATGTAGTCTGGCTAAGGAAATGTGCAAATAAAGTTGGCGACGTCAAAACGCAAGTTTCTGGAGCTCCTATTTGGCAGGAAACTCACCCCCACTTTCCAGCTGCAGCAAGAGAGCACCGTGGCTCAGTTGGTGCCTTGGCTTGGGTAGTAGGTTTTCATAGATGCTGCTGGAGTTTGCCTTAAGATTCCACATCTGACATGAAATTGTTAAAGAAAAACTTCAGACAAAGTGAATTCAACAGAGTTTATTGGGCAAAGAAGAATTCATGAATTGGGCAACTGGAAAAGACTGAGAAAGCTTTTGTAGCATAAACAGCGAGGTTTCACAGGCTAAAGAAGGTAGCAAAGTAAAAGATAATTTTATCTGATTGGCTTAGCTAGATGTCTACCTTATTTGGGCATGATGTAATGATAGGTATAATGACTTCAACATTTATCTGCCAGCACTTGCAAACTTCAGAGACACCAGAATCGCCTGAACGCTTGTGAAAACCCAAGTTTTAGCCACGCTACTCCCAAGATACTGCCAAAGTGAGTGTGGGCGGGGCCCAGAAAATCCCATCGCTAACCAGCACCCAGGGAACGGTGATGTTCCTAGTCCTAGGGGTTTGCCTTATTTGGGTATTTTGTGACCAGAGGTCCCTAGTTATATAACTAACTGGCTGGCTGTTTGTGATTGATTGATGCTAGGTTTTAATTTATAAGTCAGCCATGAGAAATGCCTCCAACTTAAGTTTTGATTTACTTCTGAAAGAGTCCCAAGTACAAAAGCAACCTCATGATAACGACCTATTATTTGCTTTAATAGAGGACATTGTAACATTAGGCAATAGTTTAATCTCTGAGCACACTGCCTATAAGAAAGCAATAACCATATATACACAATAGAAATGCTCCTTTTTCTTTACAATCAGGCATAGTGTTCTGACCCCTTCCCCAGTTCAATGTGTGCTGAAGAAACCATTCTCAGCCTCACCCCAGTGCCCGTTGACGTGAGTTACTTCTCACTTGTGGTTTGGTCTGCAGGGACACTGCAGTGATGTCTTCTGAACCTGCATCATTCAAAGTGTGGTCTGGGGGACAGGAAAATGTCTGTCCCAGGGGAGCTGGTGACACATACAAATTCCCTGGCCCTGCCTAGCGGGCAGATTCCTGGGGGATAGGGAGAATAAGAACTTGGGTTTAGGGTATTTAGAACTTGCCTTCAGGATATTCTAGTCCCTCTGAAGTTCACAAGTAAGTGAAGATAAATGCTGAAGGCATATTTGTGGAAAAGAAACTTAAGTCTTGTCCAGAAAGAGTAATTAATTTTTAGCTGGAGAATATGATGGTTTCTTTCTAGAGGCCAGACTGTGGACCACAGGGGTATCTCCTGCTGGGATGTAAATGCAAAAATTCAACTCTGAACTGGATGCACTGAGGTTGGGAAGACTGAGACATATACCTGCTCACTTCCAGTGACAGAATGTGGCCCTCAGACTTGACCTCTTCCAAACCTGGAGTGTGTACCTGCCGATGGAGGCCATTTGCACAGATGAACACCTGAGCGAAGCTGGGGGAGACGCAGGTGCTGGTGTGGGAGCTGGTAGCATGGTACGTCTCAGGCACCAGAGGAGCGATTAGTGTCAGAGACTGGTAACTACGGCCCGAGGCCCAAGCAGCTCACTGCTTGTTTGTGTAAATAAACACTTATTGGAACACAACCAATCTTATAGGTTTGCTTGGCTATTGTTCCTTTCAAGATATGACAGAAATGCTGAGTATTTGAGAGAGACCGTCTGCCCACAAAGGCCAAAATAGTTACTCTCTGGCTTCTTCAGATTTTTTTTTTTTTTTGGCCAAACTCTGGTTTAGGTGACTTGGCCAGGGTCTTAGTGGCATCCAGCCTGCCCGTGCACCTCACGCTGCATCCTCTGGGGGTGCCCATTCCTGCAAATCCTGCATGTTCCGGGGATTTCTGCATGCCTGAGGATTTGTGAGAGTGCAGATGCATTTTCCAAAGGTCAGAGGCCCTGAAGTTGGATATTTCTAAGATTCTTCCAGAAGATGCTGCTGCTCTGGATGCCAGGACAAATTTATAAGGGTGGGGTTAGAAGTTCTTCCTCTACTCACCAACCTTCCATGGACCAGGAAAGGTGTGCGAGCCACCCCTCAAGAGCAGTGGCCACTGAGGTCTTAGAGAATCAAGCAAAGCACTGGGAAAGCCTAAGCAGGAGGCCTGGCCAGTCTCCATCTCTGAGACTTCCAAGGTTCTAGCAAGAATCTTATCAGACACCATTACTTGACCAGACGCCCCTCTGACTGTGCTGAGTGGGACCCAGAGGCCCTGTCTTGCTCCATCGTGCACATTAGGGGCCCCGGAAGATCACAGACATTTTACCTCTGGCCACGTGGGCCATCATCAGCCATAAGCCTGGAGACAGCAGCTCAGACTCTTCTTGCTTGCTCCACCTGGAGCTGCCGCACAGGGTCCTAAGGGAGGGAGGACCCCACTGATCCAGATGCAAACAGGCTGCCCTTCCTAGAGGAACGCCATCGACTGCCCAACCCCCTTTCTCCAGCACATGGCACAGGAAACTTCTGAAAATGCTGATGTTTAATGACCTACTCTACAGGAAGACCCTGGACAAAGAGAAGTTTCTAAAATGCCAAGCCATAAAACTTCAGACACTTGCAAAGTGAGAGAACACATAATGCAAGGAGCTGCTCAGCCACTGATGTGTCAGCTCCTGGGAACAGCTGGTGTCCGTAGAGGAGGGGACAGCGTGTGGTCAGGCATGTCAGTGACTTCCACTCAGGAGAGACCCTCTGAGCAGGTCTTGTTCAGGAGTTCGAAATACGTATTCCAGGGCATGGTTTCCACAGAGAAGAAGCAGCTGAAGGTCTGAGGGAACAAAGCATAGAAAGAGACAGCAGAGCGGGGGTGGGGGGGAGGCTTGGGAATCTCGTGGCATCCGCTCTCAACACAGGTTCCATCGCCACCTTGCCCATTCCTGGGGCCAGCAATTGAGCCACGTGGCTCCGGCCTTCAGGTCTAACCTGACCCTGATGTCAACCCTGAATCGCATCATGATTTGAGGCTCCCTCCTTAGCCAGGGTCACCTGTGCCATGCCTCCTCCTCCAGCCAGTGGCCCTTAGCGGAACCCTAGGATGTCCCTGTGTGATCTCTGCACCCAAGAGTAGCAGGAGAATGCTTTGTCCCCACGGAAGCAATTCCCAGGCTTAGGCAACTAGCTACCTATTTGTTCATCTTACAGTAAGGGGGTTGACTAAGAATGAGAAGAGTTTTCCCAGAGCCAGGCTTCCCTTGGAGCGTGTCCTCTAGAGCAGGTGCTGCAGCTCAGCAGGGCCTGAGAGTGAGGTGGGGGGCTTCTTCTCAGCCTCCACCACTTTTGAGTCTAGGGCAGGGTAGGAAAACCCTGAGAATAGCACCCACAGACATTGTCACCACTGTCTCCAGGATCTTTCTCTAGAAGACAGGGAAGAAGTAGAGAGGAAGACCAGAGAGAAGGTTCTGAAGGCCACATGGCCCACGTGCAGGTAGCTGCAATGGGGTCAGAGGGCAGAGTAAGGAAACTCAGATTGGCCAGGGGCCTGAAAGTGAACCCCTGGGCTTCCTGCCTCACTGGGCTCCCCGCTAAGGCAGCCTGGTGGAGCCTGCTGTGGGCTCACTCGCCTTTGTCCCTCAGAATGGCTTTGTCAGCGGCTCCTGTGCCATAGCCACACCCCATGCAACATCCACAGCTGTGGAAATGAGAGAAGCTGGTGCCCTGTCTTACATTGTTCAGCTCCGGGCTTTCTTGGAAAGGGCAGTTTTCGATGTCATCTTCGAATTTCCTACATACGGTCTGGCGCAGTTGCAGATTCATGGAGTACACCATCTTACCTCGCCACTGTTGGGGGAAAAAAAAAGATAAAGTGGACGCACAGTCTTCCTGCCCTTAAGTAGCTGCAAGTGAAGACACCATTTGCGTAGGAGAGGCCCCAACACCCTTTTGCATTTGGGACCTTGCCCATGGGCCTGGCATCAGCTCGCTAGAGGTAAAACCCAAAGGATCTTCTCTAGACTGAGGAGTTAAGAGCAAAGAGCAGGTGGCCGTGGTGGGGCTGGGGAGGATGCAGGCTGAGTCAGACCCCACTAACACATGCTCCACCTCTACCCACCCCCCTCTCCCACCGTGAGACTCCAGCATCACTCTCAGCAGGCCTCTGATCTTGCAGCTGCGTTCCCGGAGGACAGAGCCACATGTCCAGGAGGGTGCTGGCTCTCCAAGAGTTTTCAGGGTACCCTCAGCCCTGAGGCAGAGGGAGCTGCATCTACAGCGTGTTGTGAAACCTTTCACCTGACCTCCAGCAGGAAAAGGACCTACAGCCCTCTCACTACACACAGGCACAAACCCTAGGAAAAGGGCTTCAGGAAACACTGCAGAGCGCACACGGACGTTCTTGCTCGCCTTCCTACTCCATTCCATTGCATTCCACTCCATACCCTCCCTCCCCATCCACGCCTTCCTCTCAGCCCCCAAACTGACTCTGGGATTGCCACATCCAGGAAGCCACGTGGAAGGCTTTTAGGACTCACAGTCATTTGAGATTTACAGACCATAGTGAGGAGCTTAGATTTTATTCTAACGGTATCACAACGGAGGCTTACACTGAGGTCTTAGAGAATCAAGCAAAGCTCTGGGAAAACAGAAGCAGGAGGTCTGGCCAATCTCAATCTCAGAGGCTTCCAAGGTTCCAGCATGAATCTTATCAGACACCAGTACTTGACCAGATGCCCCTCTGTTGCATCGGGCTTCTAACTCTCCTGGGAGGAGGCAGCACATGAGCAAGGAGGAGAATTCCTCTGCACAGGCATTGCAATCCTGAGGACAGCAGTGAGGACTCCACCCCAGGGGCAGAGCACCAGCGGGGGCCCTGCACAGAGTCTTTGCAGAGCTTAAGCTCTGTGCAGCACTGGAGTCCGTCTGCCCTTCTCTCAGGCTCTTGGTGCCGAGAAAGGAAGACCAATGCTCCTGCTCCCCTGCAACCGGAAGTGCTCCATTAGGGGCACATTTTAACATTCATGCCTGCAGCCCTGATGAACTGTGCACTCCCGACTGCATTAATGATTTCATCAAAAAAACAAGAATTTTAGCATGAAGGACCATTGACTGAGGAACAGTGTGAATCAGCCTTCAGTTCATGAAGTGCAGACAGAACGAGGAGCCCAGAGAATCAGAGAACTGACCTCTCACAGCGGCCTCTCGGGGCTGGTGGTGTTCCTTATTGCCCCCAAATTCTCACTGTTCTCTGCCTATGCATGCGTGTGTGTGTCTGTGTGTGTGTGTGTGTGTGTGTGTGTGTGTGTGTGTTCCCTTGCTTTTCTATTTTCATTTTATGACCTTAGAATATTTCAATCTCTTCAGTCATTTTCCCTTCTTTTCAGCTTCATCTCTTTAGAAGTCCTTATTCGGAAGTCACTCTTCAGTTATACATCATAACAATCATCAAGATTGAAAAATACATCTTGCATGTGAATAGACATTTACCTAATTTAAAACGATCTCTGAGTTCAATGTTTTCCAGAACTGAAACTACCCAGGTATGGACTGCAGATGGCGAACCAAGTTTCCTAGACCAGATGCCTTGGTCCCTCACTTAGGGGCAGATGGAGGAGGACAGGCCAGAAGAGGATGTGATCACCGACCTTTCTCTCATTGCTGTTCTCCCTCCATGAACTCAGGATGCGCAGCAGCCTGTAGGCACGCTCCTCCTTGCTCTGCACGTTGAAAGTGTTCAAGGCAAACTCCACTGTGGCCAGGAACACAGGATCCTGGGCCATTTTATTATCACTACGCATTTCCTCTTCGGAACACCAAGGGTAGGTCACCAGCAGCTGGAGGCCCATGGAGAGCAGTGACAGTGCCCAGGGCAGAGCCCTCCTCTGCGGAGTCGACATGGTGCAGGGCCCAGCAGTCCCTGCTTTTGCCCTTCAGAGCCCTGGTGTCCACTGAAGCCTCCCAGGGCTCAGGTCTGGCCCTTAAATTGACCTGCTGCTGCAGAAACGCCTCCTCCAGGCCTCATGGCTTCACCCTGTCTCTCCCACACAGAAGCTTCCTTCCTCCCAAGCCTGTTAAATCACCTCCTGTTCAGGGGAGAGGAACGTGAACACCCAGGCAGGTGGTTTGGGAAGGACGAGCAATGGGAGAGAGGGTGCCCCAGACATGAGCCCCAGCCCCAGCAGCCCAGCACCCCCGTGGGCAGAGGGAGACCTCCACGGGGCACCCCAGAGTCAGACCCCGGAATACAAGTGTGAGAGGTGTGAGAGGACAGTGACCCCAGGACACAGCAGTGGGAGTGGGATGGGAGGGGAGGAGCCTTGGAAAGGCAGAGGCGAAAGGAATGGAAAGGGTGACAGTGGGTGCCAGGGTCGTGGGTGAGCTCGGGAAAGCGCTGCGCCTCTTGAGAGAGAGGCGGGGAGTCCGGGAAGTGTCTGCCTCCCCATCCCCTCCCCAGCCCCTCCCCCTATGCTAAAGGTCTCGAGAGGGGGGCGCCAGCCTGGGGGTCAGGGACAGGGGCTGAGGAACCCAAGAGCAGGTGTCCTCAACCTCGTTCTCTGCGCCTCCCCGAGCGCAGCTTCCCAGCCCAGGCACGTGCTGCCAAGTGCTGGGCTGGGGTCTGGCTGGTTATGGCCGCCCCCATCCCTCAAAGGCTTTTCAAGGATGAGGACAGGCGGACGCCTGCAACCGGAGCACTGAGAGCCTGAGAGAGGAAGAAGACGCCCCCAGGATGGCCGAGGCGTGCCCATTTGGTCGTCACGAGTGCCCTCCGGTGGCCACAGCCGGCACAGCTCAGTGTTACAGTCTCGAGGACCAAGACCCTCAGAGCCTCCAACTCCAGCAGCGAACAGGGCTCTGAAAACACTGAATAATGCGCTCTTCCCAGACCAGACTTAATAAAAGCTTTGTCCCTGTGGAACATGCCTTCGATGCTTATCCACAGCTCCTTGTAAACTTCAGAAGAAACCAGCATCCCCTGAAGTCATGTTAAAAAGCAAGTTCCTGGTTCCCCCACCCAAAGATTCTGACCCAGAAGCTGTGAGCAGAGCCGGGGAACCTGCATTTCTCACCAGCTTCCAGAGGATGGTGGTGTTCCCGGTCTTGAAACCGGGAGTGGTGCAGGTTCAGAATACTTCCTGGGGAGGGCATACAGACCAAACCACAGTGAGAAGTGACTCACCTGGAGGGGCACGGGGGATGAGAATGGCTTTTGCAGGGCACACAGGATGGGGGACAGGCTCAGACAGCATGGCTGGTGATAAAGAGTAAGTTTGTTTCTAGACCCCATTTGCAAAGGAAAAGCAACTCAATGTGACCATTCCAGGAAGCTGCCAGATGTGCCACAAAACACCACCCAAGGGAGCTGCGTCCGTCCTCTGATGGTGTGGAGTTCACAGGAACTGCAGCTAAAGCTTAAGTAATGTGGTTCTTAGCTGGAGAGGGATGGTGCATGTGGGGGTGGGAAGGGGGTGTCAGCGATTGCAGAAATGCCTTCGTGGGTGTTGGGATGAGCAGGCCATAAGGAGCTGTGAGAACTAGAATCCTGCCACCTGGATAGGTGCGAGTGTCTGAAGAGACGCCTGCAATGCCCACGGAGGTCACTCTCACCTTGCAAGGCGAGGGACCGGCAAACTTGGGGCATCTTGCCAATGGCCAGTGGGTCTCCCACCATTCCGAGGGCAGATATCCACGTGCTCCCCAAGGGGGTGCCCACACTCACTCTTACATGAGCAGTGTTATCTGGTCTGGGGCACTAGATCTGTCCTCACTGTTCAGCCGAGGGGGAGACAGGAGATCTTCACACCCAGACATGGGACCACAGGCATGCAGACACCATGGACCCTTACCAGTGTGTCTATTTTCTGGTTGAATCCCCAGCGGCCTGGGGTGGCCACTCTTGCCAGGTGGAGAGAGATGGGAATATAAAGAACGTGGAGCCCCAAGGATGTGGTCAACACGTTGTTGAGGCCAGACTGAAACCGGAGGGCTGGAGGGCCTGGCTGGCCAGCCCACAGCCACAGCTTACAGCTCTCTACGGGGCTATCCCCAGGTCTCAGGTCTGGAGGCTTTTTCTCCCGAGTCCCCTTGCAAGAGTTCTGTCTCACTCAGCTTGGTCCTGGGCCCTCGTTGGCCTGTCTGCCTCCAAGGCAGCTGGGACTTGTGTGGTGCCCTCTTTGTGTTGCTGGCACTGGCACCGAGCACCCGTGTGGTCTCATAGGAAGGTCCCAGTGACTCCTCACTGAAATGGACCTGCTTTCGGGGAACCGAGGCCCTGTATTTCTGAATGCATTGCTTTGAATGATTAGAGAATGCTGGCAACGACCAGGACCAAGCCATTGGCCCTTCTCTGTGAAGCTGAACAGCGGGTGGTGGGCCAGGGGAAGCCCATTGACACAGGACGCTCTCCCCAGCTCCCGTGGACTCTGTGGCTGGGTGCTCTCCGCAGGATCAGGCTCACGTCCCTCACTGCCCGCCTTCTCAGCCACATCCTCTGAAGGTCCTGCTCGACTTTGCTCACTGCTTGTTTCAAGCTGGGCCAGGCTCAGCGGGGCCTGCCCGTTTCAGGATGGCCTGCTGGGCTTCCAGTTCATTTCCTCAGCCCCCTCCCCATTCCTCCTGCTTTCCCTGGGAAACTCCCCAGACAAGCCAGCATTCGCTGGGGATTCAGTGCGCTGCTGGAAAACAGGGTGGTGTCCAGGAGATCAAAGGAAGACAGCAGGGGCAGGGAGGAGCCCCAGGCCAGAGGAGTGATCCAGTGCCAGCTGCCACAGCACTCATCAAAGGGGCAGCTGAGGGGTTGCCAGCGAACTCCAGGGCATTCTCCATGCCTCCCTCCCCTCCTCCAGTTTTCCCACCTGGGGCGTTCTTCCTAGCTCAGTCTTCAGCTGACTTTGAGTTTTGATAATTTAAGGAATTAATCTTGTATAGACTTATGGCAGATGTAAACTGAAAAAGAGGAATAATCATTGAATTTAAAACGACAAAAGAAGAAATAAAAATACAAACGTTACCGCTACATATATGAGGCCTAAATCAGGGGTCACTCGTGCTTCGGGCAAATCTGAAGTCCCATGGGCTGTTTCTCCTCCCTCTTGTGGGTCCCGCAGGTCCCTTGCCCTGGCTAGGTCGGGGGTGCTGTCCTGGGTCAGGGAGCTTTGCTCTGAAGAGGAGCTGCTGGCCCAGCAGCCCTCCGCAGCCCTCCCATTTGCTGGCCTTTGCTAAGCTTCTGCTTGCTCCCCACCGAATCCTCTCCCATCAAACGCAGCCAGTGTTTTCTTTCGTTTTTTGAAAACGTTAATTGAAATAAAAGAGTAAAAAGATGTTATGATACCACTTCTTTTTTATTTTTAACGTTTTCTGAAGAGATGGAGTCTCACTATGTTGCCCAAGCTGGTCTGGAATCCCTGGCCTCAGCCTACAATTCCACTCTTAACTAATTGAAATGTGAAATGTAGGTTTCGACAGAATAGAAACTCCAAACACCCCGTGGCTTAAACAAGCCTGTGTAGGGTTCTCTCTCAGGATGCTGACAATGACTAGAATTCAAACAAGCCTCATTCCTGCTGGGCAGACTGCCTTAGGCACTTAGGGACTTTGACTCATTTAAAAGCCTCACATGGAAACAGTCAACCAAAATGGCATATATTGTTACATCTTATTTTTCAACATTTTGCATAAATAATAATGACTGCATTTCTTACCATTTGATGCTTTTATTCAAACGGTATTTGTAAGATTCACCTGTGTTGACATCTGTCGCTCTAGCTCCTTCATTATCACTGTTTTGCTTAAATCACTTGGCTCTCGTCCTGACAGACTGTAGTTAATTTTGTCCTTCCGAATTAATTGGGGATGGTGAAATGGGGTGGAGTTTGCAGGGTCAGGCTCTAGTGATGATAATTAACAGACTCTGGTCAATTAAAGCAGTCTCTACTGACTTGACATTACCCTGGGTTGATTCCACTCATTTCCTCTTACATTGGGGTTGCAACGATCACCCGTGGGTTTTCCTGTGCACATGTGTGAGAGTTTCTCCAGGGTAGGCACCAGGAAGAAAATGCAGACATATGAGGTAATCTTTCAGCTTTATTAGGGATCGTTGTGCTGATGATTTCCTTTTTTCTCTTTTTTTTTTTCCTTTTTGAGATGGGGTCTCACTATGTTGCTTAGGCTGGTCTTGAACTTCTGGGCTCAAGTGATCCTCTCGCCTCAGCCTCCCAAAGTGTTGGGATTACAGGAGTGAGCACCACATGCAGCCTCATTTCTTTCACCATATAGACTATTCTTAAAAATTGACGACAGTTTAATGTATCAATGTTTTTGTTTAGGGTTTGTGCTTTTGTGTTTTTTATTTTAACAATATTTTCCTTTGCTCTTCTATGTTCTCTTTCACCATGTTCGTTCTTTTGCTGTTCACATGCAGGTGTGTAATCCAGCTGGAGGCTGAGTGTGTGTGGTGTGAGGTCAGAATCCCAGGGTCGATCCGCTCTCCCACTGCCTATGAGCAGTTCATTCTCCACCCTCTGATTCCAACGGCATTTCTATCATAGTCCCATTTCCCAAAAACACGCTGGTTGCCTTTGAGTCTCTCTTCCACTGTACTGGCTGTCTGAAGGAAGCACAGGCCTGGGCTAAGAAGACCATTGTTTGATCTTGGCCAGGAAAGGGAGAAAACTGCTTGGGCACATCCCAGGGCTAGGCACACTTCCTGCACCCTGCCAGCCGGAATACATGAGGTCTGCTCCCTGGTTCTGGCCCCTGACTCCCGGCCGCACCCTCTCATCCTCGGGCTGCTGCTCTGTGCTAAGATCCTCTCTTTGAGGCATGTGGTCTGAGTTTGGATCTCAGCTTTTTGGAAAGGCTTCATGTATTGGCCATCATTATTGATGTTACTGTTATCACAAGCACCTTGCCCTGCAAGCTCACCCCCTTCCCTCATTCCTTGAGAACATGAGTTTCGTTCTTGCAGGCAGCTTGTCTTCCTGGGAAGTTGGAATTACCCTTTTG